TGTACTTTTGTTTCTAAATACGGGACGATTCCGTTTTTTAAGGGACGGTTGGCAACCCTACCTTAGACTATGTTAAAACTGAAAACTTTCCAACACTTTCCTACGAATAAATGTTATAGTCTTTATGGATTCTTCCCTCCCTTCAAAACAACTCTGAGTGAGGTGATTTATTTATTTTTTTTGCAACTCCTTGAGTTAGCTTGTGTTAGCTAATGTTAGCTAAATGATGCTATGTTGTCCAGAACGGGCTAACGTTAGCCTACACATTGTCTTTGCATTTAACTGCTCTCTGGAAAAAACATCTCATCTTTGGTACCGTAGCTGTGTTTTTTGCCCAACATGCGCTGCAAGCAATTTCTTTTGCACTGCACTTACATTTGGCCGGAGCATCTATTCCCACAACAATCCGCACAAGTTGTCTGACGTGATCTGTTCTTGTGCATAACAACAGTTACAGCTTGAACAGAAAACAGCTCTAAATAAAACCAAAACTGTGCTTCGTACACAAGCGCTAATTTGTTCCACTGTTATTACAAACACATTTATAGGGTCTCCATTATATCAGCTCTTTCAAAAGCTCAACACACTGTTGTTTCGACTCTCAAAGGTGGGCAGATGTGCCGCTCACAGTTTCCAAAGCGCTGTCTCTGATTGCAAAGCGGTTGTTTGCGTGAATTAGAGTTACGGGAGAAAGTCAGTCAAACTGACTGGGAAGCCGAGTGCTTTTAACCTCTGTGACATCACCGGGGCCATTTAGTAACTCGCAACCATGGAGGGCCCCAAATTTCCGCCCAAACTACGTATAAGTACCCATAATGTAAAACTGTAGCTTAATGTTTTATAAACAGAGCCATGTGTCTGAAATAAAACCTACTTATAAACAGCAGTCTGTGTTACACGCTTTCGCTTTGGCAGGTGAAACTGATTAGCAAAGGCTCCCTTAATTCTGTGTTTCTCCCTCTGTCTGTGGGCTCCCCCGCCCTAAATGAAAGGTTGGTTTTAATAGGGACCATGCTGGAAAGAGTTGATGTAATTGAGGGAGTTGCTTCTGAAGTGTTCCATTAAAATACACTTACATTAACAGCCTCCCAATTTAGTTAAAGGGAGGGGTGATTAATGTTAATAAAGGCACCTCAGAGCTGGAAAAGTGGCAGAGAAGTGCATTTGAGGTGAGAGCTGGCAACAGCGGAAGGAAGTATAAACATGTTTTGTTTAGCCAAGTCATCAAATGAACATTAGACTTTCCTATGTATCTACTTTAGAGTGAGGAAAGACCTGAGCTGTATGCTGTCTATTGTTACCAGGCGAGCGTGCAGGCAGCGAGGTTAATGGCCTCACAGCTCCGCCGCCGTGTGTCTGAGTGTGCTGACAAGCTTCCCTGTGGCGTCAAGCAGTTTGTTTCTCTGACGTTATTTGACCGTTGGGGAAAACAAATGCAGCAGATAAATGGCCGCACCTATGCCAGGACAAAAATACTACTGATATCATTTTTAAGAAACCAAAATAACCGTCATGCATATTTCTGGCTTTTCAGGCATCCTGTGTTGATGTTGGCCCGATGCTGCAAAAACATCTCAGATCATGATGATCATTGTCATTCAGCTGAACCGGGAAAACATTTTTCTAATCTAGCCCTCTGATGCATAGTGGTCACTGGAGTGGACAGCTACTAAAACGTACATATCTCTTTAATGCATTGGTTTCTATGGTGGAACTGCATATTAGCCTCTAGAGTGCTCTCTGCTGCCATGCTCCATTGAGGTCAATTCAGTGTTCAGTTAGTGCAACTGCAAGTAAATTTCCTCTGAATCAAAGATGGCAGACAAACTGTCACCCCTGCCGACCACTGCTGGCATATCCTGTCAATCCTTATATGCTAAAAGAGCCCAACAGGTAAAAAAAATATGATGATATGCAGTAACATCTAGGGAAGGATATTATCTGTTTGGAATAAGAAATTGTTATGTCTAATATGTAGAAAACTACGATTAACCATGTGTCCACTGTAGTGGACATCATGCATTACCCACTATATTTTTTTAACATAAGTCATAAATTGTCTCACTGTTTTTTGGGACTGTTTTGGTTATAAGTAAGCATATAATTGTTACATTTATAAGCTACTCATTTAAAATATATATTTCTGTGCAGATCAGCTGTAGTTTGAGTTACTATAATAATTATTTTATCATATTTTGTAGACTTCAAATGCAGCAAAGAATAAGGCAGCGTACAGAATAGTCCAGGAAATTCCATCCAGCTCCAGTGATGATGATTTCATTGATGAGTGCAGTGATGATGAGTTCAGTGATAAGTCCAGTGATGATGAG